GCAGGAATTTCCTAAGTCTTACTAATAAACAAATCACAAGACACATTTTACAAGAAAAACTTATTTGCTTATTTTTAGTAAGTAATAGCTTTAAATATACGCACAATTTTACTTCTGAAAACCCTCGTTCTATTTACCTTTCAGCTAATCAATGAGAGAGATATAGAAATTTGAGTAGAAAATCCAAGATTTGAATTACTTACTAAACTACAGCTCCCTACTACTCTTTTAGTTATGTCTTATTTGCAGCTATTTTTTTTCCTACTTAGAGAGCTCCTGGGACTGAATTAAAGATACAATTAAAAACATATATTCTTGTTGCTCTGAAAAGCAAGTTTTCAGCATTTTTAAGATAACGTCCTAAAGATTTTTACCTATTTTAGAATTGTCATAAGTCTATTAGACATCGATTACCTCAAAGTTCTTCAGTGTCTTTCTCCAAAGCATTGGGTCTGAGGGTTCAAGCTGGAACACCCGCAGCATAACAAACAGCAGATGAATACAAAATGTCCCACGGCCACAGCTACAAGTCTGCCAAGAAAAGTATATGCTAAGGCTCTACTGAATTGATAATTTTTCCACATTTAAGGGCACCATAGAACATATACTACCCCCACCAAAAAAACCCACCTAGTTTCTGCAAAATATTTCATATATAGGCATAAATATCTTATTACATGGCCTTATAGAAAATGTGAATTCCCAAAATACTATTCAGGAATATATTATGGAAAAGCAGATAAGTACTACTCTAGTTTTCAATTTACTTTTTTCTCCCCCCATCTTTTGAATTTTTTTAACATCAACTGAAGTTATTGCTACGCTTCATACTAGTAGTACTAGATGGAATTTATGCTTATAGTCATCGTATATCCATAACGTGACTGCAATCTAACTTAAATGAGATGCTTTTGTTTACTCAAAAACCTAGATGTGCCCCAATGCAGTGTCACATTAGGACAAAGAAAGTCTACGAAAAGGACCTCACTATTAGTACTAAGGAAATTATCACACCATTAGTGGAATTATGTCATGTACTTGTAATTTAATATACCTGATGAATGTAGGGGTGTATATATAGAGGAGATAAAGCGTTTCAGAGTAAGAGACTAGGAAAATGAAGTGGCCAAATTTTAGCCAAAAATATTTAAGATATATAATTCAGAGCCACTTCTAGGAATGAGAAATATATAGGACAATAGTAATTACTTCCAAACTAGAGTTTGCTGTTGTTTTTTTTTTAAATGAGAAACTACAGACAAAGCTAATATACTTGCCACATATTTGACAAAATACAGGCTGATCATTATATTAAATAAGGAAATCAACCATTATATTAAATAAGCACAGATTACAACTTTTAAATACTACTTTATAGAACTGTTGGTGACTAACTTGGAAAACTTCAAAACCAAATTAGGTCAAGATTAACTATACATTAATAAAAGCTACAGACAACACAAAAACGTTCTCTACCTGAGGCCCAATAAACACTCTGTATTTATTATCAGGGCTGTCTCCTCCAATTAAGAAAGAGTTGGGTCCTATCTGCTGCAGCAGGTACAGCCTGGCTCGCATAACTTTGTTGACACGACGATTTGTTTCCTCAGGGCTGTATGGAGAGAAGCCATCTGGAGACGGGGCTCGTCGAGGTGGTGTTATTCGTCCACTCTGAAACTACATAAGCAGTTCCATCATAAGCATTGCCAGGACAACAGGAAGTTCAATTCGGTGTCAGGATTTTCTTTTCCTCTCCGAACGACACAGAGTAAGAGAGTGTCCAAAACCTGACACTACTACAACCCGCCTAGACTATACGACTTTAAAAGGATTACTTTTGCTTTCAGAATTCGAGGGCAAAAGAAAAACTGGAATTTTGTCTGACATCATGACAGAAAATGAGTCTTAAATTGCTTCTGTTTTCAAGTCTTCATTGGATGCCTTACTACATTACTATGGAATTAGCAAGTATAATTCAATGATAAGATAATCATAGAATAGTGACTCAATACAGGAAATTATTGTATAAGGTTATAATGCTAATGTATTTCATAAATGAAGAAATCTTACCACTATAGTTTACAAAAGGGAATATACAGTAAGTGAGTAATAAAAGCCTATGAAATTTCAGAGAAAAGGAAAAAGGATACAGTTTCCTCTCCTTTGCACAATTAAAGCAACTTTCAGCTCCGGACAGGGTTTTTTGTTTTGTTTCTCCATCATCAAAAATTCAATGGCCCAAATCTTTTACTAAAATTGTCTTCATTTAAATTCTTCACATTTGTAACATTATGAGATACTGTCATGGTTTGATGTGGTGGGGGGGAGGTCCGGGTGGCAGAAGCTGCCCATCACACCGGACTCCCATCCCCCTCGGGGTTTGAGCCGATCGGCGCCTCTGCGAATTGCCCTATTTACGTCGGACAAAGGAACCGGAAAGGTGTGTGCCTTTGCCCAGGAGTGAGGAGAAGGGAGGGGGGCACGGCCCCTGCTCCTGGCGCCCAGCTGGGCCGGGCTGGTGCCTGCTCCGTTGAGGATGGCCACTCGGAGGAACTTGGGAAGAGCTCCGCTTGGGGAACTCAGCGAGAGCTCCGCTCCCGGGGTGCCCGCCGGGCCAAGTTCACCCAGAAAAGACTGAGATCTGAGACAAATGGCCACACAGATCATCCAGGTCAGTGAAGATGGAACAGAACAATGTGTGCCGCGGCTGAGTCCCCCTTGCAAGTGGCCCTTTTGCAACAAGTCCTCGGTGGAGCAAGCAGAGACTCACTCGCAGCCCGTGGAGGATCCATGTCGAGAAGAGATGCCAGAGCCTGAGGACGGTATGCATCTAGAGTCCGTGGGATGACCCCCACTGATGGGGAGGTGTTTCGTTAAAGGAGATGCCTGAGCCTGAGACGATTGTGGATCATGGGCACAGGTCGAGGCGCATTTACGCATTTAAAGTCTGTACAGAGATGCATTTAAGGTCGATATGACGACCGACGCCGGAGCGCATTTAAAGTCTGTATGATGACCCACGCCAGAGCGAGTGGCTACGACTCCTTAAAAGCTCAAGACTGGTAAAGCCTGCACTTGGGGCAATCCGATGGGGTAAGGATTGCATCCCAGCAGGTAGGACCTCACGCTTTCGCCGTGAGTAGGGGATCCACTGGAGCAAGGGACAATGGTGTAAGGACTCCTTCTCCTTTACGAGAAGCGTCAGTAACAACTTGGAATGAACTGACCTGCACTTCCCCATTCCCTGCCCCCCTGCGCCGCTGAGGGGAGGAGGTAGAGCTGGGAAGAAAAGGCAAAGGGGGGGAGTGGTGTTGTTTTTAAGATCTGGCCTTGTTTTCTTGTTATCCTCTTAAGTAACCGTTTTTGTGTGCTTTTCTCTTTCTAGGTAGCTGTTAATAAACTGTTTCGCTTTAAGAAAACAGCCTCTTTTGCCCGGGACCGTGGTTGGTGGGTGCTCCTCTGTTCCTGTCTCGACCCTCAGCTCTTTTATTATATTTTTCTCCTCTCCAATTCACTGGAGTAGGAGAGCTGCGTGGAGTTTAGTTGCCGGATCAGCCTAACCCACGACAGATGCATTAATAGCTCTGTCTGTTTTCAAATCTTCTGCTTTGATTTTTATCCACTTCAAATTTTACTTTATGATGCAGGTTATAATTGAACCACTGACCATCAGTTAAGGAAAAGTTCGCCTGAACTTCAAAAGTTTTTCATGTGAAAGGTTAATATAAAACAAAGAAAAACAATCATGTAAAAATGGATCAAAGGCTAAATTAGATAGTTTAGTGGGTTGTTGTGGTTTTGGTTTGGTTTCTTTCCTAACCTTTTAATTTCTCTTGTCAAGAGGAAAGGAACTGTGCTGCAACACTACAACTTGTCATATTTATCCCTAGTTCAGAGGAATGGCAGTCTATGTTTTAGTTGATTTCGGAAACCTTGTTTAGAGTAGTGAGGCAACAAAAGCAACTGATCTTATTCTTACCCTAACTGCACCATGAAGTTGTAGACAAGTCAACTGAAGCTTAACTGTGGATAAGCATTTTTATAACAAGCAAATCCATTAGATACTATTGCTCAAATCGCTATATTCTTTATCTTTAATGAAGCCAGTTACTATTGCTTATAACATTCTATTCCATATCTTCTCAAATGTAATGATTGAGATTTTAGTCTTCTAATAACGCACTTACCTAAATCTTCCCTAATCTCTATGTAAAGATCACTTCTGGAATAGAGGATCACAAATAGCATTATCAGTAATGCTTTTCTGCAGGGATCTTAATCCAGTCAATCATCCTATCCCCAGTGGAATATATTTGCCTGAAGAACTGACAAAAAAACTACAGAAAAATAACACCAAGCTACTAAAACCTCCTCATGAAATTGAAGCTAAGACTACATACACGTCTTCACAACTAAGTACCTTACATTTCCTCATTTATTTCCTAGAAATAGAAATTGAAAGCAGGACTGAATTAAAAAGAAAACATATATCTAAGAGTAGAGAATAAAATCCCACACGTGAAAAATATAACACGAGATATGCTTTGTGTGTCTCCCTCATGTGATGCCCTGTCATAACCCCTTTGTATCATCATCTGGCCCTGTATAGGGAAGATTAACTCCTCTACAAGCAAAAGATTGCAGAATATAGCCAAATTAAAAATTACATCACAGCTTGCAACTTACAGGCACTGGAGATACCCTTTTTCTTCTAACACCTGGTGATTCAGATTTAACTGTCCTAGAGGATGATGAAGAAGAGCTACTAGGAGAAGGACTACGTCTTCCTTTCTGTGTAGGTGAAGAAGCAGTGCTTTGTCCTTCAACTTGAGGTTCCAGAGAGAGTTTGCTCATTTCTGATCCATCTCCTTTCCCAGGCATAGGTTTCACCACCTTGCAGGAATTAAACCACGTGTTAGAATTACAAATTGATCATTTTACACTAAAGCTAAACAAATTAATCAAAACCAGCTTTGCTAGCATTGTATAATTAAACCATTATTCAGACATGTAAAGTCTGCATATTCCCTAGGTTGTAGCATTAACATTTAATAGGCATTATCTTGTTAATCTATGCACAAAACAAAAGTAAGAACCTTTTTCCTGTCCATTCAGCTTATATTAGCTGTGGCAGCAAGCGATTTGATTCTCCACGTACTCATAGAATCATTGAATAGTTTGAGTTGGAAGAGACCTTAAAGGTCATCTAGTACCAAGTCCCCTGCCATGGGCAGGGACACCCTCCACTAGGTCAGGTTGCTCAAAGCCTCATCCAACCTGGCCTTGAACACTTGCAGGGATGGGGCATCCACATCTTCTCTGGGTAACCTGTTCTAGTGTTTCACCACCCTCAGTGAAGAATTTCTTCCTTGTATCTAACATAAACCTACTGTACTTCTGTAACTGTCATTCATTATATCTCTAAGGACAGCATTTCCCCTATGTGGATAGCAGGAGCCACACCAATTTTTTTCTACAGGCATTGTCTGCTTATTACGAGCTATAATGCTGGATCCATCTGTTATATAAAGTACCAGCTGAGAAATACTAGGGTTGCACTTTCTACAGCACAACACTTGTTGCAAAGTAAAAATTACTTTAAACCTGGAGGCAATGCAGCAAAATCAAGGCGTGCTGCACCCTGTAAGAACCACACCCAGGTTTTCTGCTTGCCATATAAGTAAAACAGCTACCCTGCATCTGGTATCTGAGCTAATCACTGCACACAGTGCTGCCCTACATGAACAGGCTCACGTCCTCTAGCAGAGTGAGTACAAACTCTTCTAATACAGTACTTACTCTGTTGCACTAACACTGAATTTTGACACTGAGGTACAGAATAATTCAAGACAACTTTCAGCTGCCTGCCCCTCAGACCCACACAATGCATGAGAAGATTAAGGCCCCTGGGAATCAAATTAAAAGCAAATGTATTGCAAACCTGAATTTTTCAAAAATCTTTGTTGCTACGTTTTTTAAATATACTACCACCTGATTATAAAAGTGAACAAGACAAAAGCGGTGCAGCCTTTTTTTTTTTCCTCCTACTGATTACTGTAACACTTTTTCTTTCCTGGAAGGTCAGAAGGCAAATTCACGTGCCTATGGACAAGTTACAGTTATTAGCTGCTAGGGCTTGAAAACACTCAAAATGTAAAATAGTAGCAATTGAGAATCTGGGTTGCATTTAAAAAAACCCAAATAGCATCAAGGGTTGCATTTAAAAAAAAACCAGTAACCTCAAGGGAAATGAGCTGAGCAGGCAAACAATTTCAAGCTATGCAGTAATCAAGACGCATTTAAAATTTTTCAATGTAACAACTGTTTTGAGTTATTTGACCCTTTGAGGTATTGCTTTTTCGGTGCACTTACAAATATTCTCAATGTTCTTTCTCATGACGAAGTTACCAACAGAACCCTTTTATTTCTGTTCTAGCAGAGCTGCCCCCAAACATTTGTTTACTGCATCTGATGATCTTAGCTTTAAATTAGCACTTTCATCAACTGGTACACAGGAGTCACACTGGTACACGTGATTCATATCGATCAACACAACTACACTCACAGGTAAGTAATTGCTATTAATTAACCAGCATTGTACTGAACAGAACTGTCTATGCTTAACAATCTCCAGCTTTGATCTGCTCGCCATTTCTTAAAACCGCTTCTGAGCCATTTATACAAAAGCATTACCTGAAAGGCTAATAGAACATCTGGCTTCCAAAGTTTAGCAGAGCTGAGATTTGTGTGGAGGAGTTACTCAGATTTGGTTTTTTTCTGGTTCTTTTAAGATGGCAGTTTGTTTTTTCAAGTAGCAAAAATTCCGTACACTTCCATCATGATATGTAGAAAACGTCAACACTTTCAAACTAAGGAAAAGTGTAGTTATGAAAACCCTAAGTACCAAGAGAGCATAAGGCACTATAGTGCAGTTTGCCTCAAGTTTTTACCTCACGAGCAGGAGCTACTTCAGTTGTTGACATTAGAGGGCAGTGTTGTCACAGTTATTTTATACTACACGATCAGCCGCACAGCTGTATGCTCTTTTCTCAAAAACAAAGCCTAACAAATGTGTACATTTCAGAAAGTCAGCCACAGTTTCCTGTTAAACAGCTCATGAAAAATGAACAGGAAGACCATAATTAAGGGTATGAAAATTGTTAAGATAAAGAGGTTTCTAATAGAAAGAAATCTAAGGGATTTTTATTTGTAATAGCTGTTACAGATATTGCCCTTCCATCGGTGCCTCTTACCACAGGGCCTCTCCTACTTCTTCTTTCCAGCCATTCATGCTTCCAGGCTGGCATACACGTTGCCTTGAGTTTTTCCCTGATCATGCGCTCTTCTGGGCGGTCATCCATCTTCTGCAACCCCCTTAGGGTTTCTTTGTTCTCCATGTCACGACTACAGTAAAGAAAAAGTCATAAATACAATTATTTTTAGTTAGAGCATAATACAACAGCATTCTTAAACTTTGTGCCATCTTCTTCTCCCTCTCCTTACAGTGCAGCTACTAAAACACTACTTCCAACTGACTGCAGCAAGTCTAAGAGTTACGACTGATTTGCTAGCCTGCTGTTTGCAGCACACCTGTTTTGAGAGCTCTCTCTTTATAACGTGTGTACTGTTTGTAACACTGGACACCTAGTAAAAAGGAAGGTCTTGGCAAATATTAAACTAATGCAGAAACTACCCTATATGTCATGGTATTCACCAAAAGTTTCACAAGAGTTGTGATGGTTCACGCATTCCTTGGCCATTCAAAGCTTGCAATCTCTACTTTAAAACAATTTACAAAATTAATATAAATTAATGGTGAAAGTTTTAATCTTCATAGAATGTACAAGCATGAAATTATATATGTAGTGTCTCTTCCTATACGTGAACTCTTCCTCAATAAAGAGGACTTGTAAACTAACACACAGTAAGTATGTTTAAGCTGGACACAGAAGTCATGAAAGTAAGGCTAGCGGCCTTGGGAGCTGCTTTCTGAGTGACTGATGACTCAAAAGCACTTCAAGTCAGCTATAATTATAGCAAAACTCACAGCAAGTTTGTATCTGTAAAATGAAAGTGTAATCCATCTGGGCTTGTACTTTCTTGACCTACAGCAAAGTAGTTGCTTGTGATTGCTGGCAACAACAAAAAAAGCAAAAAATACTGTCAGACACTGAAAAACAAACATGAACAGTCTGGAGTATTTCCTGATTCTGTTGAGCTATCTGCTAAATCACCAGGAAAACCAGATGATCCCTACTCATCTTGAAGTTAGCTGTCTTTAAAAATAAGCAAGCTTGATTAAGCTGACTCTCTGAATGAAATCTGATTTCGAAAATAAAATCACCACTTAAAGTGGAAGATAGGCTATATAATAATTTAGTTACAACTGCTGCTTTCAAGCATGCAGTCTTCAGCTTGTAAAATACTTAGCTATGCAGTTAAAACTACATTTACATAATGTATGATGACCTACAACATACTCCCTGTAACATTCATTGCAACAAGATGATGTTAAAACTACAACTTCTATCTTCATCAGCAGTGTACTGCAAAGGCTCATTTATCACAAATCTCTACTTAGAAAAATGAGTTTTCAGTGGTCAAAAGTACTCCTGTTATTTTTTTTTTTCCTCTCATTGTAGAGACAAAGGAAATAAAGTATTCTGAGGCAGGAAATAACTCTTCCTGTTCAGTGCTCAAACGTAATAAGCAGATGGATATTGTAAACAAAATGTTTTCTTTCAAGCAACATCTAAACCTACTGTTAATAACTGATTTTACACACTTAGAACCATGTCTAGCGATTAAAGACTTTAAAATGTTTATAAATAGAAACGCAATCCATCTAAGAATTAATGTTTTTCAGAGGTTACGCGTTAATGCTTCCTTGACTTCAAAACTAATGCAAATGACAAAAAAATATTGTTGTCCCAGCACTGAATTCCATACTATTGCTTTCTAGAGGGGAAAAAAAAAAAAATCCAGGGATAATTCATGAAAAACAAAGATATTACAGCAGCAGGTGGAGTCCAAATGGAGAATGTGCCAAGAAGTTCAAAACGGGGGAAAAACTAGTGTGTAAAAAAGGGTCAACTTTACTTTTTTCTTTTCCCCTCAGTAAAAAAAAAAAAAAAAAAAATCAGTTCAAAGATAAAAATCTTTGCGTAAGAACAGTATAGCTCTGAAATAATACAGGTGCAAGTTAAAAATACAGCGTTACTCTGGTTTTTATATTAGTTATTCCACAGCATGAACAATATCAGTTGCATGAATATTTTGTATACAAGACAGAAAACACTAACCCAGCAGCGAAAGAACGACAGAGTATTTCATTTGTTCATATTACCACAATTAACTTCCCAATTGATATAAAAAAAGGCTTTTAGAGGCACTTGGACTTGAATTCATGAACAATGTAATACAACAGCAGAGGCTTCACAATCCGTGCTTGTTCTCTAAAAAGCAGAAGCGACTATCTTCCTCTCATGTGACAGCTAAACCAATCTACTCTCGCCTGCACAAAGAACTCTTATGCTTTTCTTCCATGCAGGTGGGAAAGACCAACCGAGCCTGAAAGCTTTTGCTTAGTAAATCAGTTATCTTTGTGCAGAATTTAATTATTATGTGTATTTTTATAGAACAGGGTTTCTGAAGTGCTCAAGAAAACTTCATATTTTAACTCAAGTTTGGTTAGAATTTTTATTAAATATTCTTGTACTGTTGGATCTGTAGGAAAAAAAATATTTGTCCTGTGACTGCACAAAGCTCCTGCATACTGCAGGACATCCTCCTCACTTTGTGGCCCTGAACCTGCAGAGTTTTTTAAGTTATTGTTTTTCTAATCTAAAGTAAACCCCCTCATCTATTCCAAGCGAGCTGAAGTTTCCTATGTGACACTAGAGTGTCAGTCTCCATTTCACTCTACCTCAGCACAAAATAAAAATAACAAATCCAGAGCGTATTCCACTGAGAACTTGATCCTGCTGGGTAGGACATTCTGATATTCATATGGCAAAAACTATTCAAGAGTCAAGGTAAGGATGTGCTGAAGTGACTGTCATTGGTGCTTTATTTGAACAGCGGTGACAAAGGTAAGGACCAGGCTAAAAAATAAATCTTGGAAAGTATGCTAGCTTGGACCAGAGTCTGACATTTCTCAACAGCCCAGCCCTCTGCTTCATGAAGAAGCAAGGATTTTACTTATCAATGTTTCAGCTTTTCATGAACCAAGCAAAAAAGATAAATTTTATCTAGAAGAAAACATTTTAACTTTCAAACTTTGCCCCCACAAAAAAGGCAGCATTAAGGATCTTGTAAATTCTTTTTATTAGTAGTTTTAAACCAACAGACATCAGCTCCTGTATTATTACTCAAGAAATTCTGAAAAAATGGATCTAAATTGTAACTCGAAAGTACTGAGCAAGCTCAACAGTGTGATGACTACTGTTTTTTAATGCATAAGCTTGGAGGTCTGCACATTAATAATTGCATTATTCGCTTTGGATTATTTGCTTCCTGAATTATAAAATACAATGAGATGGATGGAAAACTGCATAGAAACATTCCACAGCAACATCTTATGGAATAGAGAAGACATAACACTGTCCTTTGTTTCTGTGTCTTAATTTTGAAGACTTGCAAACAGCAATAGTTTGCAAACACTGCAAACATGAATAGTTACATTATTAATAATTTGTTCTGTATGTATCCATGATTCAGTATTTTAACACAAGGTAGGCAATATAGGTGTTATTCAGCAAACTATTGTGAAATACACAAGCAAAACTTACATTCAGCAAACTATTGTGAAATACACAAGCAAAACTTACTTCTGAATAGCTCAGTGAATTTAATATTACTTATCTGGAAGTATTTTTCATACAAAATGCATATAATGACATACAAAAGCTGAATCATAGCTCCAATTCATCTTCCTGCGCTTTTGAGTGTTTAGAAACCATTAGATGTCTTGGCTTCTCTGCTATCTTATTTGGGCAAACAGCTTTATCCAATAGCCATGCCGGACCAGATTTTCTTAGCAGCAGGAAAACAGGAAAAAGGCAAGTTCTGAAATAAGGAAGAGTCAATTCATCAAGAAAAGGGAAGCTCTGTCTGCTGTATCCACAAATACCCAATCACAGAGAGGAAAAAAGTTATTAGCTGCTGAATATTTTTTTTTTTTAACTGAAAAAGTTAGCAAAGGTAACTTGCATACCAGCAGTGATCAAACCTTAGATGACTACAGAAAACATTCATGAACAAAAGTGGGCACATAGCAGCTCTATCAGAACAATCAACGCATTTAACAACAACAGGTTGTGAAAGGAAGAGCCCAGGGATTGATGGAAAAGCACTGAATGAGAAGGAATGAACATGGGAGAAATTATGTATTCTGCTCAGTGCAAATCCCACACGTGGTGACAACCAATAACGGGGGTGAGCTTAGATGGGGTGTACAGAACTCATTCTGGGGACCTTCAGCAAGGATTTAGAGCACAGGTACCCAGCTACCTGCAACCCAACCCTCTGCTGAGGTTGAGGCCTGAGAACACCAGGCTAGCCAGCCGGCCTGGAGGCATGCTAGGAGCAGTGCTCAGCATGGGGAGCAGGGACAAAAGTCAGCCATTCCCTGAACTAAGAGGGTCAGGTATTCGTGTTTTAGATAAATGCTTGCCACTAACAGTTCCAGTAGTGCTCACAGTTCCTCTTTTGCCATCAAGTATAGTTAATGATATCAAGATGAGTGAAAAAAAAAATCAGATCAAGATGGGCAAGACATAGTCTGTCCTCCTGTCAGTCTCCCATTCCTTCTCCTCCTGACTGCTGGCATCTATCACCTAATCCTTTGTGTCCATCTGAACAAAGCAAAAGATCAGGTATGGCATATTCTGTTAAAATGAAAAATTTAACAGGAAACTTTCTCAACCTGGTACTAAATGGCAGCAACTGCCACTTAAAGACAGCATTGAACACACTATTACATAGACAGTAAGAATCTGTCTTCCTAAAATAGTTACAGAGATTTTAGTGAAATGCTAGGTAAGTGTGAAATTAAGTTCTGTTCTTCTGTTAAGAGTACCTGACAAACACAAAAGGGGAAACAATGACCATATTTCTTTCTTTCAGCTGCCTCACCTTCTCCAATAGCTCCTCATCATCTTCCCTTCAGATTAACATAAACTCTCTTTATTTGGCCAACACACCATCCACTGAAGCTCACAAATTGAGTGGTACTCTACATCCACTGTTTGCCTTTCCCTCACATTAAAGAATTACCACTTTCTTATGTCATTTTTAGATGAATCACCAACAAGTACTCTGCATTAGAAACACCCTTTGATTTACCACAAATAAGCTTGTATCTTCTAGGTATATTTTTAAAACAAATTATAAATACA